GAGGTTTGGCACTGGTAAAAATCTGCACAGCTGTGGCATCAAACCAATAAATACACTGGTAGATGTATGGGATGACCTCATTGTGTGTAACAAAATGGTGCTGTAGTAAAAGGCTGTTGTAATTACACTTGTTGCTAGAATATTGGGGTTGCTGTTGTTAGGGCATTAGTTTTTGGGTTAGGTTTTTTCTTTTTGCTTTCATAGTGTAGTTTTGCTTCAGGGAAATGTCCTTGCTCTGAATTAGAAAAAGGAATTCTGTGGGTGAAAGTGCTCCACAGGACTTTGTATCTCTGCTGAAATTCCTTCAGCTACCAATTGTCAGTTAGAGCTTTTTTTTTTTTTCCTTCCAGAACAATCAAATTCAGTTTTCAGAGTTGATGAGAGCTAACCAAATAACTTCCATATTCCCTTGCTAGATCTCCTAAAATATCCAGCAGTTGAAAACAGATAGTTGGTGCAGATGTCTTATGTGGTCAGGATTAAAGTAGTGCCAAATCTGCAATGACTTTCAGCAGTGATTATGTGTGATTGTGTGTCACTGGATAATTGGAGGTTTTCCCCATGTTCTTGCTGTTCAGCTTGTATATAAACATGCAGCCATTTGAGGTGTGGCAGAAGGTCCTGGAAAAACATCAGGGCCATTCACAATGGCCAGTTTCTCAGGTTACTTCTCTCATTATTTAAAGGTGACATTTTTTTTATTGCTTTTGCTCTAGAAAGGACGTATCAAGACTCTTAATCTCTGCCAAAAGGACTGGTATTGAGTGCTATGTTGCCACATTTGTTTAATGGCTTAGGTACAACCTCCAGCACCACTGTGATTACCTTGAGTTTTGTTTCAGTAATGTGCAGCTGTTCCTTCAAAATACACTTCCTTTCTGACCTTATCAGGTTTGTGTGTGTGTGTAACATTAAGTCTTGTATCACCACATCAGCTTGAAGGAACTGAGATTTACATGGTATTTTTGAGAAGAGAGGGTTTAGTTACAGCCTCTGCCTTCCTGAGTCTGCATTGGGGTTTTCACCTTTTGTCCAACCTCCTTTAGAGAACCAGGGGCAGCTTTGGAGTACTGAGCAATGGGGAGACCTCTGCAGAAAACTGCTCCCAAATATACCAACATCAGTGCCTAGAAATGGATTTGTATTTCAGCATCACAACAGACATACTCTGTTGGAATATTTTATGTGCCAGTCTTTGCCTAAAGAACTAATGAAGTTTAAAAAAAAAAAGGAAACATTTTTTCTTCTGCTTTCCTTGGCATGTTTACAGGTTCTAGTTTCTGAGTAAATATTCTGTATTTAGAATGATACATATGTAACTATGCTTGATTTGAGGAATGTCTTGACTGGTGTGCTAACCTCTGCATGCAGTCATTGAGACTTTGGGCCTTTTTGGATGTAGATAAATGTGCAGTTAGACCTATGAGTTGACTGGCTGCATGCATACCACTGACAGATGCACAGATGAACAAGTCTGTGCCTTTGCTTTTATCAGACACTGAAAACCATTTTGAGATTTTTCTGTTAACTTGACTGTGCCTTTTTTGCTGTCTTGCCTTAGTTTAATGCCCCAAAGCTTTTCAGCACTATTTAGATGGAAGCTCTTACAGTGAACTTGCACAGTTTGCTACTGTAAAACTCAAACCCTTCAACCCTTCAGAAGCTCAGCCTGAACTCATGCTTCACAGTTAACATCTTCAAAGGGCTTAAAACAGTTCTCCATCATGAGCTATGTAGTTCTTTGGCAGTATTGCACAGGGGTTGGTGATTCAGACCTGCCTCTGTGCATTCATCCTAAAGACCCCTGTCCAGACTGCTGACTGCTATTTGACTTAGACTTTATAGTTTTTGAACTTCTAACTCTATCAGTAATTTAGTCTTCTATAAGAACTTTCTGTGGTACTTGGTGAGAGAACTTGCCTTTCTTCCCTGAAGTCCTTCTGTGACAACTGGTCCTAGCAGGCAAGTGAACTTAAAGCACTTCTGGTAATGTCTTCTCACTTTATCTGTTCTGAATGCTTGGAAGGTCTGTGTTTACCTGCACTGAAACAGTCTTGTTTGAGTTGCACTTGGAGGTAGCAGAATGAGGATAAAATATAATTAACTTGGTGAAGACTATTTCAGCCTATTTTGCAAGTTGGTCACTTAAGATGGTGGCCTGACAGCATGTGGAAGGTGCTGGGGTTTTGGTACAAGTTGGTGTTCAGATGGTGAAAATCAGTCACATCACCATTTGGACCTAAAAGGTTGGGCTTGTAAGCTATGTGTGAATAACCTCCATACACACACTGTGAGAAGATCAGATGATGCAGGTGGGGGAAGTGATACCAGCCCAGAGCTGGGTGGTTGTTGCCATTCCAGACACCTGCTGTATCAGAAGTGGATCAGGCCAGTGCTTGCAGGTGTAGGTTTGCATGAGCTACTAGCATCCTTGCCTACAGCCAGGAATGGTCCTGGTGTCCCTCAGGTAAGAGCTGACAGAGACATGGTTGCTGTCTTACCCTGGAGTGTTGGTGTCAGTTGTGGTGCTGCTGTTTGTCCCTCAGAGGAGCAGGTGATTGAAGCTGTGAGTGATCCTGTTCACTCCTTTCCAGCCCCTTGCTTGGCCTCGGAATGGGGGGCTCATGAGCTCTGGCCTTGGCTGCAGAGCTGGCTGGGGAGATCTGCCCACTCTGTGGCTGCTGCCAAGTTCTCAGGTCTGTCCTGAGAGCAGGTGCCTCTCTGCTTGGTGCTGACTAGGCCAGACTCCCTTCCTCTAGCTGAGGAGCCATTTCAAAGCTGTGCTCCCTGCTGAGCTCCTGGCGTGGCTGCCTCAGAGAGACAAGGCAAAGCTCTCATCCCATCCAAGCCTGGTGTGCTGCTCTAGCTTAGCTGAAGTAGTGTTGCTGTTCAGATCTTTGGTTTATAGGAAAGGAAAGCCTTTCCAAGGAATTTACTGCTGTAGAATTGAAAAATGCAGTCCTTCAACTGGGAGGGAATAATGGAGCTAGTGGTTTTACTGTATGTAAAAAACCCCATTCAGTTATGGGCTTGAGAACAATGGCTGGCAGGGAAGGGATTTGAAGGGAAACAACTTGGAGATAGCTTTTATTTTTTACAGGTGTGTGCTTTAATACCCAAGAGAGGATGGTACCAGATGAAGTGGTAGGAACAGGAACATGGTGGGAAGAAGTGTGTGGAGGAATGGTGAATCCTTATAATGGCTCTTTGGTGATACTTCAGCATTTGAGTAATTAGCATTCACAGATAACTGGCTCAAATCAAAGCCATGCAGAAACAAACGTAAGAGTTTAATACCCTAGGAAAGGTTTTCTGTGATCTCTTAGGTGCTTTTCATACAAACTAAAATGTATGCTTAGCAAAAGGCACTTGTATAAATGGATACACCAAGCAAACACGGGTGTGATTACGGTGATGGCTGCTGTTGAAACACCAGTGAAATAAAACTTTGGACTGTTTAAAGAAGTAAAATGTCTAGATTATATGGAAGATAAGTACATATGAACTTTTGTAGAGCTTGGAAAGTGCTATATTGTCTGCTGAGGTAGCACTTCCATGTAAGCTACAGCTGTATTGAATTGGCACCACTGCAGTTTCATGCTTTTCTTTTGTCCTGACTGCATAATTGCACCCCAGTTCATATGCTGGTGCTCAGCTGATCTCTTTGTGAGTGCTTTGGGGCACTAAACTAGCAGATATCTATTCACTTTTTTCTTTTTGTCTGTTTATTTATGTCTTTATTTTGGGCTTAGCAAGCCTGGTCCAGCTTGCTGAGCTAGACAAATGCCATTCCTGGCAGGAGGACAGGGCAGAAATGCCTGCCAGGATAGGGAAAGGATGAAGTGCATGCGTGCCAAGACAGATGAAGGTAAACTGTCAGGAAATCCCAGCAGGAGGAAATCAGCTGGTTAGAATCACATTTGATACCAATTAGGATGGCAGTTGTTTGTTGAAGAGACCAAAGGAGGCTTGTGGCACAGCCAGTGCCCTTGGGAAACACTCAGCTCTGTGCTGCTGTTAATCACTCCTCAGTACACTGCCCAGTCAACTTCAGCTTGATGTCCTGTGCTTACTCAATGTACAATTTTTATTCCCTTCTGATTGCTAAAAGCAAGTAAATGATTGGTCAAAATTAAATGTGAAAGAAAGACAACACAAAATGCTTTATGTGCCTATAAATGTCTAAGACACCTAGAAGCTGGCAATACTGGCATAGTATCAGAGTTACTAGGTTTGGAATAATAGGTTTTGGTGCTGGGTATACCATTCCCAATAATTCGCTTTGGGGCACTAAACTAGCAGATATCTATTCACTTTTTTCTTTTTGTCTGTTTATTTATGTCTTTATTTTGGGCTTAGCAAGCCTGGTCCAGCTTGCTGAGCTAGACAAATGCCATTCCTGGCAGGAGGACAGGGCAGAAATGCCTGCCAGGATAGGGAAAGGATGAAGTGCATGCGTGCCAAGACAGATGAAGGTAAACTGTCAGGAAATCCCAGCAGGAGGAAATCAGCTGGTTAGAATCACATTTGATACCAATTAGGATGGCAGTTGTTTGTTGAAGAGACCAAAGGAGGCTTGTGGCACAGCCAGTGCCCTTGGGAAACACTCAGCTCTGTGCTGCTGTTAATCACTCCTCAGTACACTGCCCAGTCAACTTCAGCTTGATGTCCTGTGCTTACTCAATGTACAATTTTTATTCCCTTCTGATTGCTAAAAGCAAGTAAATGATTGGTCAAAATTAAATGTGAAAGAAAGACAACACAAAATGCTTTATGTGCCTATAAATGTCTAAGACACCTAGAAGCTGGCAATACTGGCATAGTATCAGAGTTACTAGGTTTGGAATAATAGGTTTTGGTGCTGGGTATACCATTCCCAATAATTCCTTTCTGCCAAATTTTACTACCAAATTTTTATGAATCTGAAACAGCACTTCACTTGAAGTTGTCTTTTGATAACTTTGTGCTTTCTTCATATTTTCCCATTTTTTCCATTCTAGAAATTGGTCCGGTGACAATAACCACTGATCCCAAGAAATTTCAATTTGAACTCAGGGAACTTTATGTTCAGGTGAGTACCGTGTTCTTTCTCTGTGTGGTTCTAGCAAAGCTTGTCCTCTAATCTGTCCTGTCATCTTGATGTTTCTGCTGCCATACGATGCCGTATCAGGATGTAGGCCATTTACCTTTGTCATGTTACCTCCTCAAACTCTCATCTTCCTGTTCTCTGGTTGTCTTTATGATTACAGTCAATTACTTTGTCTTAGTTTACATCATTGTATGGAGACAAGAAAGAATAATGAGAACACAGGAAAGAATAAATAGAAACATTTTAATTGTTCCTGCTGCTTGTTCACAGACACTTTTTGGAACTGTTTTACTGTCTTCTGGCACTCATTTCCCGTTAAAACTAGTTAACTGATTTAGGTACCAGAGGGCTGTGGGACCCATCAGGTACAACTTAAATACTGCCTTCACTGCCATGCGTTGCTTGGCACCCACTTCAAAAGCATCAGGCTGCCTCGGGCACTCTTCTCTTATGCAAACCCTGTAGCTGTGCTCAGGAGTCAGGTGGCAATTTTGATCTAGCACATTAGAGTGTCTCCCTTGTTGGAGTTCCCCTGGCTGAGAATGAACCACAGCTGACATCTGGATTGGGTCAAAGAAGGAGAGAATTATTGGAAGGGAGTTACCCTTATTGAAAGAAAATACAATCCTATTGTCTTGTCTTTTTTAATCAAGCAAAATCCTTCTGACCTGTGGAGAACCTAGCTGGGGTTAGTAGTGCCAGACAGACTTTCCTGTCTTAAAGAACTGTCTCTTAGAAACTGGCACATGGTGTAATCCCTGTAATAAATATTATTTGAAAGCCAGTAAAGCTAATTTGGGAAGAATGAGTAGTTTAGAAGTTGGCAGAAAGATAGAAATTCAGGGAAAATAATACTCAGTTTTTCAAGGAGGCAGGAAACACCAGCCATCATGCTTTTCCTCCTCTTCACAGGGAAATTTAAACTTCAAAAAATCCTTCCAGTCTTTGGGTTGTTGTTTTTTTTCCCTAAGTAATTACACTGGTAAGTAATTACAGCTGTTTCTAAAAGCTATATGATTTAGATGGAGTTTTTGGAAATTTCAAACTCTTCATTTATAAGCAAATCGTTTAAAAGTTACTGTCTAATGTACCTAAAATTTTTCTCTAATCCTGATAGAGTGCATATTTTGTCATTACTTCCAGGATATGCTCATTCAGCTAAATTTTGACTTTCACTGCCTTGCATTCATACATTATATTGGTGAAAGGCCAAAATATAAATTAAAAACATGAAAATAAAAATGAATTAGAATTAGTCTGTATACATTTAACTGAAGAAAACAGGCCCTCTTCCTTTTTCACTGGAAGTGGTAAAGGAAGTGTCCCTTTGACACCACATCAGTTGATCCTATTTTGCCTGTGTTCCATCCCTAACTGTGAATCATCCTTCAGGGCAGCATGACAGTAACCTGCAGAGTGGCTCTTCCTCCCTCCTTCCCCCCAGAGTTAATAAGATTTTTTGTATCATCTCATATGAAGCAGTTTTCACAATGGACACTTGCATAAGCAATAGACTTAAATCTTGTCTGCATGAAAAACTTTGAAAGTGCATTTGCATAGTTGGAGTGTTACATAACTCTGTGGTACAGATGCCAATGAACTTGCTTCAACAGTTCTGAAAAGGCCTTATTGGAGTATTTCTCACTGTAAAAACGACAACTTTATGCAAATAATCTTCTGTAAAAGTGTTGATAACACTTATAAAATCAAATTCTATCATTTTGTAATTGGGTACAATGCCATTTGAGTAAATAGATATTACATAGGTATTAATTTTAGACATAAGAAATGGGAATAGTCCAGATGAGCTGAGCTAACAACCAAAATTTGTGTGTGCCCATCCAAACTGAGTGAAAAAAGAGACTTGCTGAGCATTACTCACCTGTTTTTTTCAAGCCCCCTCCCCCCCCAGAATACTTCACAAGGTTATTGTAACCATATTTAACTGTAATTTGGAGAGAAAGGCAGGAAACATCAAAAGGAAATTTTTTCTTCCTTTTTACAATAAAGCTAATACACTTTTGTTTTGTAGTTCTAGCTGCCTTTTGAGAAAACCCCTCTTCTGGGTCATGAAAATGAAAATGCTCACACTTGGTGTCAGAATAACCATCTAGCTCAGCAGTGCTTTACCTGTTATACATAGGAAATAGAGGCTGCCATATAGAGCATTACATGAGATAATATTCTAGTAGGCTTGAAGTGGGAATAGAGATTTTCTTCTTCCAAGGAGGTGTCTATAGAAATTAGCTATTATCTTGACTTTGACAATAAATTAAAGCTTTATGTGGAAGAGTCCTTGGCTGAAGGTGACATTGACTTAGCACGAAATAACTTGGATATTCTGATCTGTCCCACGGGATTGTGCAAATGTTGCCAAGATAAAGTTCTGATGTCTCTCACGTGTTTCTGGAGAATTCTCTTGAATTTCAGGCAATCTGCAGTCTGCCAATTGCTTTTCCCTTGAATAAAAGGCTACCTTTAGAAAGGACTGACCTATAAAAAGAGCAATGGTGATGTACCTATTTTTTTAAATGGATGAAAAGTTTATTGATGCTTTTAAATTGCATTAAGGATAGTGATTAAAAATACTACAGGCATGAACATTTCACTGGGGACAGCTGAAGTTTTTTGGGACTAGGGGATTGTGGGAGGCAAGGTTTTGTCTGGTTCGTGTGTCTGTATGAAATTTGAACCTCAGAATGTAATTTTTGATGGCATCTCAAGAATTAAAAATAGATCCTACAATTGCATTATCTTTTTTTCTTTGTCCTTCCTTCATTCCTTCCCATCTTGTGGAGATTTGTCTGAAGACATGTCAACTGTAGAAATGAAATAAATAACATATATTTAATGTGGAGAGTGCAGATCTGTGCTGTTGTTTACATGGGCAGGTTTTACAGTTCATATTCAACTCTTTGGAAAGTTCTGTCTTGAATATGCCAAGTTAACTTTTATGTAAGGTGAAGTGAAATTTTGAACAGTATTTTCCTCTAATTGTTAATTTAAGAAGATAAATGGATCCTTTCATATGAAGTTAAATAAAGTCGTACTTGGAAGCATTTTGGTTGAACACATGGTCTGTGAATGTCAAGCTCTGTAGTTGTTTCCTTAGTGAGGTGGGGGAACTGGAGCACAGCACCTGTGCCCCTCTCCTGAGCTCCTGCCCTGCCTGCCCTGCCTGCCCTGCACTATGAAGTCTAGGTCAACTTCTTGCTGTTTTGGTGTCTAAAGGTCCCCCTGGAGCTCAGCACTGCTTGGCTGGGATCATTTCCCATCTGTGTCTATCACCGTGACCTCCCATGACTGCTGCGTTCTGCCAGAGAGATGCAACTGTCGGCCAGTGCAGGAGCGTGTGAGTGGGGGAAAAGGAGCTGTCACAAGAACTGGAGCTAAACAAAATGTGGTGCTTCCAGAAAGATAAGAGTGACCACAGCAGCCATTTTCAGGCTAACCACAACTTTGTTTTCCCCAAGGAATTGTTACAGTTGTTGCTTCTGAGTGTGTGAGTCTGTGACAACACAGGATAGGATAAAAAAAGTCAACGAAGAATTATAAGCTGAGGAAGTATCTGTCTTGAATATCCCAAAAGAAAGCAACTTACTTGGTGTGCTTTGTTTATCTTCTCATTGTGAACAGGGTGGTGGGGACTGTCCAGAGATGAGCATCGGGGCAATAAAGATTGCTCTAGAAATTTCTCTTCCTGGTTCTTTCATCTATGTATTTACTGATGCACGATCCAAAGACTACAGACTTGCCCATGAAGTGCTTCAGCTCATTCAGCAGAAACAATCACAGGTACAGAGGGATTTACATTCTGAGCTGGCTTATGTATTTAATGCCCTGTTTTCTCAATATTGAAGGGTGTAAGTAGTGCAAATGAGCCTTCTGCCACTCTGTGTTCTTGGCCAGTTTACCTGTTCTGTGGGTGTTTTCATTTTGCTCTGAAATAAATATTCTGTGAAGTACAAGTGCTGATAGGTGAGTATCACATCTAAAGTGGTTCTTGTCTGTTCCTTTTTTTCTTCATTGCTCTAGTAGTGAGTGCAGTGTGGCAGTCCTTCATGCCAAGTGACATGCACCCCTGCCCAGTGATCCTGTTCTTCTGTTGCCCTGTTTTAATGCTGTCTTTGCCACATTTTCCTCAAGTTTGCACCGTGTGCCAAATGGTTTTTAATTTTATTTTATTTTATTTTTAATACAGGTAGTGTTTGTACTCACTGGAGACTGTGATGACAGAAATCACATTGGCTACAAGGTCTATGAAGAAATTGCCTCAACAAGTTCTGGTCAAGTTTTTCACTTGGACAAAAAACAAGTTAATGAGGTAACTTTGGAAATCTGCAATATATAGAGAAAGCAAGGCAGAGGCTGATACCTCAGGTCTCTAAGTGACCTGATCATGAGTCAGTGATGATTAGGGGAAATTCTAAAGGTTATACTGTTGGTATGTGGTCCCTGTTCCACCTTTCCCTTTCTTCTTTTTCTATCTGCTGTATCAGGTTGTAATTTTGTGACTTTTATTTATGTTCAGAAAGTGTGACCTGCCCTAACCTCACCCATTTCCCTCTGCCTCTGCCAGCAGGCTTCCCGGAGGGGAGTCTTTAAAGTAAGGTGCAGTTCTGTGCTCTGAGTAGTGCAGAGACTGTAATGCTCTGAAGGGAGTGCAGTACCAGCTTTAAATGAGCATTTTGTTAGAAAGCAAAGGATTGCTAATAAGCCTGGACAAAAAAACTTCCTCTCCTAATGAACAGATAGGTTTGAGCCAGCAATTTTCCATTGTTCACAAACTGTGGTAAGTTTTTTATTGAAGCGACTGTTCTGATCCTTTTGACAGCCCTGCTGACTTCCCAGGAATTGTGATTGCTGACCTGCAGCCTTGAGTGACTATTTTCTTTGAAAATTCCAGTGAGCCTTAAGCAGAAATGAAATTTCAATAGTGCTTGAGAAAATAATTTGGAGAGAAATGAAAGCACATGTTAGATATTTGGGGAACTGGAATGATTTATAAATGTTGTAAACATTTTCCTTTGACTTCCTGGTATAGGCAGTAACTAGACTCAGGGTTTTTAAAATAAATTTTACTTTGGTTTGTTCTTTTTTCTTCCTTTCCTACAATTGGGACAATGGCAAATGTTGGAGCTCCTACATTGCAGCTCCTACTGCTATTGCCTAGAAAAATTGAAGGGTACTGGCAGTGATGGGAAGGTGATCAAAAGGAGGAACTTCCTAGGGGATTTATCCTCCAAAAGTCAGAGGAAAATAAATGAGCTGTTGGGACTCTGCAGTTCTGTCCTGTGTTTTGCAATTATTTGTGTAATAAGGATGAAACTGCTCTTGTCAGATTCTTTATACAGAAGGGATCATGATACTGCCAATGGGAAATGCTCTTTGCCAGGACTGAAGTTTTAGGATAAAGATTTTGTTTGACTCTTCTGGTTTTGTTTTTTTCTGGCTTTGAGAGGTAGAAGTGAGCAGAAGGAGCAACTTGTAGGTGCCAAGTGACTCCATGTTCCTCAGTGGAGCTGGCACGCAGTGTTGCAGGGCCTGTCTGCCTCTGCCTTTTCAGCTCCTTGGTGCTTCCCCATTTCTAAGAATCCCAGCTGCTGCTGGAACTGGGAGTCTGTCTTTGAGTTTTGAGAAAGGTTTTCAGCAGG